TGACAAGGTCTCGAGAAGACCAGGCTATAGGCTCCAAACCAAAATTCAACTTCTCAAAGCCTCCCTAAAGACCTAGAGTAAGTCGATCCTTGGGAATTACTCCCAAATTAAGTCTTCTCTTCTCAACTCCATGCAAGACCTTGACCGTATTGAGGAGTCCAAACCCCTGATAGACACTGAATCGAACATGAGGACCCAAACTAAGCTTGAATACTTCTCCACCCTCAAAAAAGAAGAACTATACTGGCTCCAGAGGTCAAGAGTAAATCGGATTAAAGCAAGTGACCAAAACACAGGCTTCTTCCACTGGATAGCAAATTGTCGCAAGAGAGGCAATACAATTTTGACTATTAAGTCCAATAACCACTATTTGGTACAGCCTGGAGAAATTAAACCGGCTATCTTAAACTATTTCCAGGCCCTTTACGCTGCACCTCTGGGTCCTAGACCTAAAATGGCCGACCTTGATTTTCTTACTCTTTCCCAAGGCCAGGCCCTTTTGGCTTGAACGACCTTTCTCGGATGAGGAAATCCGGAAAGCCTTGGATGAGTTAGCCAAAGACAAAGCCCCCGGTTCGGATGGGTTCCCAATAGCACCTTTCAAAATATTCTGGGAAACCTTTCGCCCAGACTTCATGAGTTTCTTCGAGGAATTTTTCCACCGGGTAATCCTCCACAAAGCCATCAACACTACCTTCATTGCCTAGGTCCCCAAGGTTGAAGGGGCTGAGGAGCTTAAGGACTTTCAACCTATTAGCCTGCTCAACTCCTCCTATAAAATTCTGGCTAAGGTGCTGGCTTCAAGAATTCAACAAGTCCTTCCTTCTATCATCTCATCGTCACAGTCGGCCTTCATTACAGATAAACAAGTTTTACACGGAGCTCTAGTAGCACATGAGTGTATTCATTCTAAACATTTATCCAAAAAGCTTGGTCTCATATTTAAGATAGACTGGGAGAAAGCGTATGACCATGTCGATTGGTCTATACTGGATGAGTCAATGGTAAGAATGGGGCTCAGAGACCGCTGGAGAAGATGGATGAGAGGTTGCTATTTCCATCCTCACTTCTCAATCCTCATAAATGGAACCCCAAAAGGATTCTTTCCTTCCTCGAGGGGGATACGTCAAGGGGACCCACTCTCCCCCTTCCTCTTTGCTATTATAGCATATGTCTTCAATTGATCTATCTCCTGTCTATACCAGACAGGTCTCCTCACGGGTTTCAAAACCTCTCACCAAGGCCCTACAGTGTCCCACCTGCAATACGTAGACGACACATTAGGTTTTTTAGATGCTTCTTCACAAGAAATTAAAAATTTGAGGCTTTATCTCAAATGTTTCCAAGTGGCCATAGGTTTCAAGGTTAACATGGAAAAATAAAAATGATGGGGGTAGCAATCGCCAACACTGAAATCAGAGAGCTTATCCCCAATTGGGAATGCAAAGTTGAGGATCTTCCTCCAACTTACCTTGGCCTGCCTCTGGGATTGGGTAAACCTAAAAAAAGACATTGGTCACATGTGATAGAAAAGGTTTATAGGCGTCTGGCTGGATGGAAATCGAGATACCTTTCTCAGGCTAGCCGAACCACTTTGATCAAAGCAACCTTAGCCAACACCTCGGTTTACCTCATGTCGCTTTTCCAAATGTCATCCTCAGTGGCAAACCGGCTAGACCAGCTAATGAGAAATTTTCTTTGGTCTGGACAGGCAGAGAGCAATGTTTTAAAAAACGGTCCGTCTGGCGCCTATGCGCCCACCTAGGCGGCCTGGACAAAAAATCCACACGCCTAGACTCAGGCGGCCCTACACGGGTGGATGTACCTGGGCGGGCACCTAGGGCCGAAAGGCCTTTTTCGTTTTTTTTAAATCGCCCAAAAGGGCAAAGGGACCATTTTAACCCCCGAAGTTGTATAACAACATTATGGGGTTTATTTTTAACCCCCAAAGTGGAAAAAAAAAAAAAAAACAAAAACAAAAACAAAAACTCAATATATGAAAACCCCCAAAGTGAAAAAAACTACAAGGCGAGGGGTGGGCCGCCTAGCGTTTTTTGAAACCTTGACAGAGAGAACAAAATATCATTTAATCTCTTGGGACAAGGTCTACCTACGCAAACAGTAGGGGGTTTAGGAATCAGGATCCCAAGAAAACATAACTTGGCCCTTTTAGGGAAATGGTGGTGGCGTCTTGCAACTTAGACTGATTCCCTCTGGGCTCAGGTCTTACGCAGTAAATATAAGATTTTTGAGGGCATTTGGGTGCCAGAGAGGAGATCCTTAAGCAAGGCCTCAGAATCGTGGAAGTCTTTCACCTCTTCCCTCTCACTGTTCAAAAAATTCATCAGGTTTCATCCAAAAGGAGGAACTACAGTGTGCTTCTGGTCAGATCTTTGGCTCGGCCACACTCCTCTAAGGGACCTCTTCCCATCCCTTTACTCCATTGCCTCTAACAAAGATTCTACCATAGTGGAGGAAATGGTGTTGGAGGGAGGCCGAAGATTGTGGAACCCCTCCTTCAGAAGAAACCTCTCAGAAGAGGAAACAAACCACTTTCTCTCTCTTTTGGCAGCATTGCATTGACAAGGGAGGGACTCGTTGCTTTGGTCCCTTACCCCCTCTGGTACTTTCTCGGTGGCCTCTTTTTACAAAAGACTCATTCAACCTCCCACCTTCCCTCTTAATCCTCCATCTGTTTTATTCAAGGTCTGGTCCACAATAGCACCTCCAAAATTTCAGATATTCAACTGGATAGGGGCTTCCAGAGGGTACTTACAGTTCAACTTCAAAAGAGAGGGATTCCTATTCTTAACAGATGTGTCATGTGTCTGTGTGAGGAAGAATCGAATCCTCATCTCTTCCTTCATTGTAACCTGGTCCACGATCTCTGGGGTCAATTGTTGCAGCTGTTTGGTGTCTTATGGGTTATGCCCCTGATGGTCAAGGACCTCATTTCCTATGACCTTGCCCCACATTGTCCAAAGCCTGGGCGAATCCTATGGAAGGCCTTGGTGGCAGCCATCCTTTGGGTAATCTGGATAGAAAGAAAAGCCAAGATATTTCAAGGCCATATTACCCAAGGTTCAGCACTTTTTCACAAGGTTACATCCTTTGTAACTTTCTGGGCCTCCAACCATCAGATCTTTTTAGGGATTGCTCCGAATACTTTCCTAAGTCAATGGGAAAACATCCTGTACCAACGACCACGGAAGACGCAAGGATCATGCAACTGACAGCTACCTCCAGGAGGATTCATAAAGCTTAACTTCGATGGTTGTTCACTGGGGAACCCCGGCCATGCAGGTGCTGGTGGTGTCTTCAGAGACTAGCATCGTACAATCCTATTAACTTACTCCGAGTATCTTGGCCTTCAAGATTCTCAGTATGCCGAAGCAATGGCTTTACTGTTGGGCCTCAAAAGCGTCAATCTGTCTTGGGGGCGATACCTTATAGTGGAGGGAGATGAGCGTAATATTATATCATGGGCAACCAGGAGATCCACACCTCCATGGTACCTCGCTTCGATTGTATACATCTATAGGGATATGGTCGTCTTTTGGATGCATACCTCGAGGGCGTCAAACGAGTTCGTAGATTTCCTAGTGAAGGACGGGGCTAGGGCCCAAGTAGAAGACCAAACCCAATCCACCTCCTTTTTTGCTCTGGACCACAGAGGGTACACGTAGTAGAATTTCTCTTCGTATACGGGCAAACCTATAAGCCCATTTTTGTAAACGAAAGGTTCTGCCATCAATCTTAAACAGAATAGATTTTGGGACAGTAGCTAGGTCAGAAACTTGCATTTTCATTTTAACTGTCCTAAAGCAGTCACCTGCATTTGATTCACTATCCATATCGATGAGTCACCCACAAGCATCCAATTCCATTGAAGGCATCAAAATTCCATCTTTGTGGGAAATAACTGTAACATGTATCCAATAAGTTTTATAAGATTAAAATCAATAGATGATTTTCACGTTGTAGCTGTCCAACCATTGTTTTTTCTTTTTTCTTTTCTTTCAAAATAAGTTGAATGCTCAATATGATGGCTTGCAATTCCTAAGAGAACCTACTTTCTAGTAAATCCTATGATTCATTTTAGATTACAATAATCCTATTGAGGAAACAAACTGAAATTTTTAGAAATTATTTTTAATTTGTACACTGCTGTTTCTTGAGGTTCTCTACAGCCTCCCAGCATTCCTCCAACTGTCCAATCCGACAACGGATGATTGGGGTGCTAAAGACGAGTTCTTGATGGATGGTTTCAGGGTGTTGTCCGTTGTAATTTTGACACAAGGACTTCGAGTGGAGGATTGATGGCACCGAACCTTCCATTATTGATATTTGACAGTTTGGGGAGCATTGGGAAACTGTTGGGAACTTGAACAAGAGCTTAGAATACTTCACCTTATTGGATTACGAAGAATGTGCTGTGATATTAATTAACTTAAAATCTCAAATAATTTTAAACAACTGACGCTAATCTAAAAAGATCTTGATCATTTTCGGTCTAATAAGGGCGAGGACCTTAAATTATCCCTTGACCGATCACGAGTCCGGGTAAAGGAGGTGGGTTGCATTAGATAGGCTTTCAGAATAAAACTTTGCCACATCTTATCATAGCGGATCCCAAGTAATTGGGATAAGACTGGATGATAACGATGACGACATATAAATAGTATGTATTGGAGATTGTGTGCGCACCATGTTTCAGTTATTCCCACCCAAATATTGGTGGGACTGACAAAAGATACTAGTTAGGATATCTACATATGCACAGGGGTGCAGATGGCAAAAAAGAAGGGAGGCAAACAACAGTGGCTTTCCCAATTGACTCGTGATCAAAACCTTGACTTCATGTATTGAAAGTTTGTGACTTAATAATAAAGGTAAGAAAGTAGCAGACGAGTGCATTTGCTTCTGGCTGTTTTGTCGATGTTGTAAAATTATTAAGTTTGTCCTTCAAAATCACGCTTCTTTGTTTTTACTTGTACCAGGGATTGTTAGACCTCTTGGGAAGAAGTCCTTGTAAATTGGATGGAATGAGGACTTAAATCACATTCAAATGTGAGAATTTTGAAGGTAACTGGCACCAAATTGGCCAAAAAAAGTACCAGAAACGCTCAATATGAGAAATTATTCATCAGACTTGATATGAAATCATATAAGGTCCATATTTTATAAAAAAAGATTTCCAAGTTCTGTTAAGTGCATTCACTTATGAAGGTTCGCAGGGATTGGTGCCGAAGTTAGCCATGGACATATATTGAAATCTGCTCCTAATGATTGATATTAGAGCTGTTGCTGTATGTGAGCCTTTTTTTGTGTATGTTTATGCGTGTTGAACTGCTCTGCATGCAATTACATTGTGTGTGCACATGAGAGAGAGAGAGAGAGAGATTGGTTTTATAGAATGCATATGATGGATCTGTTTGTGGGTACGTGCTCATGCTTGTCTTTTGGCCTTGCATCTCAAAATATCATCCAAATATGCCTTGCACCCCAAATTATCATCTGGCAAACATACAAGTTTTCAATTCAAGATAGGTCAGTCTAATCATATTATCCAGCATAAAGCATATAACTTATCAATTCAATAAAGTCAAATTAATCGTATCATCCTCTGGTGAAAATCATACAAGTTTTTGAATCAGGGAAGGTCAGCTTAATAGTGCAATGTGCAATGCTCTGACTGTCAACTAATCTTTACATTTGAAATCACTTAATCAAGAATATAACACCACCAAGATTAGAACCAAGCATTTTTTGGTTCAACAACAATAAATAATTCAGGTAAAAGAAGCTCCCCTGCTCTAAAACCATGGAATACCAGAAGGAAAATAAAACATGAAGTTGCTGGAACAAATTGCATTTCTATGACAAAATAAAATACGTCCCATCAGAGAAAAATACAATGTCTCTAACCTCAATTTACACTCCTTATTGAACAAAGGACAGTGTGCTTCAACTGTCCACTGTACATGGCAACATTGCAATGATACTTCACATCCATGGCACTCAAATAGGCACCCCCATCTGTGCATGTACTCGAGAATATATTGTAAAAGGAAAAATCAAAGAAAATGACCAACAAAAAAACCAAATTTTCCCCGAGTTCTCTTCTAAACACTTGAAAAATTAGAGGAACCATAGCCACTGCCCCGTGCCAAGTAGACATAAATTGGGAGAGTTGAGATCATACCACGGAACAGAACAAATACCCGAAACCATAAAAAAAATCAACATGCTTCTCTCTCACTGGAGGAAAATCAGCATACTCTTCCGTTCTCCCTTGAGGCTCCTCACATGATAACATTCTCTCACTTGAGGCTCTCGTAGAAGAGGATATACCCATGATCAGTGTTGCTTGAGTACTCCTGCGCAGACCCAAAGAAGGTCTGCACAGCTGATTCATCAATCATTTCCACATTTTCATCATCAAAAAACAGCCAGTGGTTATGGCTCTTCACAAGGCTCACATAGTGACCATGGTTGGGGCCTGAACCCACATGGACCACCACAGCGAATAGAGAGTATTCTGAATCTGCATCCTCGACTGTGTTGCTAAGCTTGAGCTCTAATGGGAAGACAACACGATAAGAAAGCTTCTTGTATCGCCCAAGCTGCTCAATGTATTTGAAGCGCTTAAGGTGGATAACAAGGATATGAGGTGGCTTCTTTATCTTCATTCTTTTCTGAGCTTCCTGTAGGCTGTATGAGATAGAAAACAGAAACCAATTGACAACTAGGAAAATATACCAGTCCAATGGACCATTGAAATGTATTCCAACCAACATTGACAGTCTATTCCGATTTATGGATGATTGAATATTATAATCCCACTACATGGTAAATCTCCACACATCATCTCTCAAAGGAAACACCATGCCAAGCTATCGCATCAATATCTACGATCAAACTGATGATTGGTGAAAAAAGCAGCAAACTAAGATGGACATAACATAAACCATGTTGAAAACCAAACCTCCTACTAATCATTATACATTCCTCTCATGTAAATGAGGATGTTTCACATCTGGATTATCTTCAAACCAGTTCGTTCCAATCTATTAATGAGATAGGCTTAGAAACAACTATATATCACGGCAAATTTGCAACTTATCTGGACCAAATGGGTGATTGAAAATGGAAAATATCATATCCAGATATCAAGCTCAGTGGACAAAATAATTGTTTTTTCTAAGGACGCAGTTAGCATGTGGCCAAGCCCACACATGTAGAAATGCGGGCTTGGCAATAAATCTATTTTTTAAATATAATTTGATCTTAATTTTAGAGAATACATGATCTTTAACATGGAGATCATTAATATGAAAAAAATAATAATAATAAAAATAAAAATAAATTGAAAACTAAAAATAATAATTATATTAAGAAAACATTTGGACCGTTAGTTACAACTGTTTTTAGATGGACCACTTATTTGCATCCATTTTGAGATGGATGCCTTATACTTCCAGACCGCATATTGTAGAAATGCAGTCCAGCCCGCATGAAACAATTGTTCTTTTTTTAATGGTCATACCAGTTTCAAAGGAAACAACCATGCTTTCCCTAAAAATTCCATCCACAACTTGTAGAACACTAGGAATTTGAGGGTAGATGGGGGATTTGTAAGGGATCTGACTATGGCGAGTGATTACAGCTAAGCAAACAAGGAAAGCTACAAGGGATTTTAATGAAGCTAAGCTTTTGTATCTGCCACACGCAAACCAAAAAACATCCTGGTAACCCTTCAATATTTTCAAAATAGTAGCGCACACAAACAAAACAACACACCAACAAATGGAAATTCCCATGAGCAAACTTAAAATCAAAGTTGGAAATCTATAACATTTCTTAAAAGGTTCCTATAGTTGGCTTAAAACAGTAAGTTGGCAGCTCTTCAACAATCCAGTGTCAAAAATGGATGTAGAGGCATGTTATTCCTCTTCTCGTCAATTATCTCAACAAAAAAAGGTTTTTCTGATTTATCTGTCCAAGTCTGTCCAATATATATCATACACTCTCTATACAAAATATGGGACAAATATCATCTAAATAAATTAAAGGAAACCAATAAACATAATTACAAACAGAGTTGCAGTGACATTGTTCATCTGGTGAACTCATTCGAGAAACAAGTAAAATCCTGTTCCGCCTTCACAAGAAGACAGATGTTCACATGTTTCCCTTTGCTATGTCCACAATTCTCCCTGGTAGTTCAACTTCACCCATGTATCCTCATGTTATTGCTAAAAATTCCGTGTGTTCGATTTTATTACACGCTTTAGATAAACATGCGAACCACATGTTTCCCAAATGTTTCACACATTTTCCGGTTATAATTCAGTCTTTTAACTGCATTTTCTATTTGCTTTTGTAATGTTTCATGTTTTTCTACAGCACCTAAACAATTCTGAAACTTTTTCCTCCCATTTCCTGTATACTTAATAAATCCTGAGAAAATCCAGAGAAGAATGCCCATATTCACGCCTTGAAGCAGAAAATGGTTTGTCTAGCATATTAAATATATACTCAATATGTTCAACTGCAAGACTAGATGATGATATGATATAAATGGTAAGGAGAAAACCTGCAACACTTGTCACAGAAGAATTTGTCTTCCGCGTTCAATGTCTCAGTAGAGCTGAAGTTTCGAAGACAGCTTGTAATGGAACTATTCTGTTCAATGTCAAGACTCAGGTCGAGAAACGTCTCATCTCTTGCGGTCACAGTCTCACATCTCAAGCATCGCGTTTCATTAGTCAGTATACCCTGAAAAGAACAAAAGAAAGCACACACTTTGGAGACTGTTAAACTTTAAAACCCATATTACATGAAGAATGAATGTTGCACCCAAGCTGGAGAGTTGAAGTAAGGAAATGGAGGAAAGACAAGTATGCAATATAAAGCCTGTGCATATGGAATCCACCCATTTCTTCTCAACGATAGACAGTGGAGGTTATCTGGAACCGTGGTGTGCTGTTTGAAGTGTCCACCATCCATTCTCAATGACCGAAGATGGAGATCAACCATACCCTGGTTCATCTCCACATCTGTAAGTGCAAATGGGCAGTGGATGTCCCAGATTAATCATACCCACATTAATCTAGTCTGACCCTCATTCAGCCATATCAGGAAAAAGGCTGCTCAGTCCAACATGCTTCTTGGTCTGCCATGCATAATGAAGCCTTACCTGAAAATTCTTATGAACCCAGGTGACCAGAGGTTCTTTCTGGACACCATTAGGTTGAAGACTACGGGGCCCATTGGCAGTTTTTTCAGATGGTGATGAAGTTTCTGGAGAAGCTTTTGCAGCATTAGATTCTTTTTCCAAAATATCAACCAGCTCGTTCAATAGAAAATTCAGGAATTCATGTGCATCCTACAAAGCAGAACCAAGAAAGGTTCATCTTAGGCAAAGAGAAAAGATATATAGAATAGCGGAAGAACCTCGAAAAAATCACAGCATTGCACCTGATGCATGTAACTGCGAAAAAGCTCGTTCTGTTTCTTCACTCTCTGGACAAAACGCTTTGGTGCAATAACACCCGTTTTCTTCTTCTGTGAGCATATCTACACATACCAATGCATCCACTCAATAAACCTCTGTTGCCAGTGTTCATCACTTGAAGAAAAAGTCTATGGCCCCTTACATAAGGACTTGCTTAAATGGACAAAACACAAAAAGGAAAATTAAAACTGTAAAAGAGAAGAAAAGCACACCCACAATTACCTAGCACCTCGTTCAGAGATTCTCCTAAACCCAGGCTTCTTTAAAGCATTGAGATTCAACTCAAACTAGAACAGCTGACACATTTTTGACTTGACTTAATTTTCTGCCTAAACCATATTTCACCGATCGAATTACAGTCATAATACAAAAGGCCTGATCAATTGACTACCCAATCATGTGAAATTCTAAGTCTATCATCATAGTAAGCATTGAAATAGAAGAGTAGAGGGCACAATGGCCAAAGTTTGTTATACACGTAGTACTTGATATAATCCAAGGAGCATGAACAAAATATTCGCATAAAGCAATAAAAAAGAATGGTGTGAAAGCGTGCGGTTCAATGTGGATGGGCTTCCTAGAGCTGCTGCTCAATAAAAGATGATTTTTCATTACTTTCATTGAAATTCCATATTCTTCTTTTATAGCCTAAAATCTATCCTAAAACTACTTATTATTCACCCAAAAAGGTAACTAGCATAAAAAATAGAAACCTAACTAACCTAAGATAACCCAAAGGGAAATAACAAGGTGTTCCTCTCTCTATGTCTATTTATATAACTGACCCAAACCCATGGGTCATATGTACAATGTAATCAGAAATCACTAATGGAGGCTAAGACCAATGTCATCTTCATGAACAGATTCTAGAGAGTTTTTTCTTGAAAATGTTAACTGCCAAGAGATTCTAGAGATCATTCTTTAGGACTTTCAAGTATTGAAAATTTAAAAGGGATGCCTCAAATGGCAAGTTGCGCTCGAAAGGGTTCCATAAAACACATGTTCCACGCATAGTGTAAGTAGAGAAGTAGACCAGCCATCCACCAGATGTCGCCCTCAATGGCCCAATGGAGATTAGATGCTGTTCTGCTCATGAATTTAAAGATCAAAACAATAGGTCATCCACATTGCCTAATTAGAAGAAATGGTGGACGGCACACAGGTATCCCATTTTTTATTTTTTATTATTTTAAAAAAAGGTGATCTGTACCTTTTATTTCCCCAATTGGCTAACATAGGTGCCACTAGCTCAACTTGGACATTTTGGGACTCATTCGCAGCTTTGTAACTCTGAGGACAAAACCCGTTGGTGTTTGTAGAAAGGAACCAAAGTGACACTCATAAAGAGCCAAACATATTCTGAAGATTGTTGAGATTTTTTATTGAAAAGAATGCATGTGAGAGCCAGAGAAACAATGGGAATGAGTAAACGGGAGAGCTTATGTTGTTAACACCCTCACGCTCACAGAATGTTAGCATCGAAAATACATTGCAACCCAAGTACAAGGTTGCTATAAAGGTCAACACAAAGATGGTCAGATGAACAGGGGGAAAAGGTAAAGCACAGAAATGCAAAATGCTTGCGTGCCATGAACAGAGCAACTTTTCTGAGTGCTGCCTTAGATCTCCCGCATTTCACACATAAGACATCATTTTGAGAAAAGAGAGGGAACTCTTATCCTTAAATCCAGAAAGAACGAAATGCAGAAGAATCAGAGTATGGTATGTGACAACAGACAACCATTCAAAGGAAAAGAGAGAGAGGGCAAGGGATGAAATGAAATGTGGAGAAGTAGCAAACAAGGAGAGCTGGGTAGGCTATAGAGTCAGAAGAACCTCTTCATTCTCAGTCAGTGCCAGAGTAAAAAACTCTCAGCAACAATCAATAAAGCCCAGGCAGGAGCTGTAAAAAACTCTCATACTTCAGTAGAGATTCAAGGGAATATTTTAATAATCATGGATGATATTTTACATGTTCCAAAGTTTCTCAATACAAATTGAGGCATGAGACAAAGCTCAAACTCATCACGGGGATTAATTGACGAAGGACAAAAATCACATAGTACACAAACCAGCAGGAAAAAATCCACCAGCATATCAGAAAAATCAATCTATGAAGTTCGCAAGGATCAGCCTAGCTTCCAGGTTTTCAATTCTTTAATGCACAGTCATTTTTCTTAGATGCAAAAGGATGGACATGGAAAGAGGGAAACCTATGTGGCATGGATTTTCAACCTAGGCTTTGCACTCGTGTCCGAGACATATGGACACAATTATGGTACACCATGGACATGGCTGGATTCTCCACAGAGAAGAAACCTGAAAAAAAAAACACATGTGGACAAGAAGAATCTGACAAGTCTTGAATCTTCTAATGTATGTGTTGGATTCTTCTACCAAAGTATCACATAATGTGATGTCATATCAACTTTTATTTTTCAATCTTGAGTTTTTCATTTATTAAATCCTAAACCAAACAAAGACAGGGGAAAGTGTCTCAAACCGCCTGTCGCGGCAATATCTACTAGATGCACCATTGTTAGATACTTAGTGATTTCCTCATCAGAGTTTGCTTGATCCTTGAATCTCCTTCTTGCCAAAATATTAAGTGAATAGGATTCCCTCCCTCCCTCCCTACCCCCCCTCCTCTCTCTCTCTCTCTCTCTCTCTCTCTACACACACACACACACACACACACACACACACACACACACACACACACACACACACACACACACACACACACACACACACACCACCACACACACACACACACACACACACTCGTACGTACTACTACTACGTACGTACTACACGTACGTACGTACACCAACCAACCAACTAACAACTAACAACCAACCAACCACCTACACTACAC